CAATAATGATCGCTTCGTCACTTCGTTGACAAGCTTTTCATTATTATTGCTCGATCAGAAACTTTATTAATAATAAAAGACGAAATAACATATGGGAATAAAGAAGAGAATCGCTTTAGTAGAAACCCATTTTTCTAGAAATCTGTAATTTATCGGTTCCAACCGATCTTAAATACAACATTACAGCTTTGCTATCCCAACCACCTATAGCACGAATCTGTGTAAGAGATAGGCCTGCCTCCATAGCAACTGTAGCACCACCAATCCTAATGCTGTGTGCAGTAAAACGGCCCCGAACACCTGCATACTTAGCAATTCGCTTTACAATAGCCCCTATGGCCCCCACTGTGAGTTGTTCTTTCTTCTTTGACAAAAAAAGGGGTTTATCATCAGTAGTCTTTGGTCTTATTAGTAAATACCTACGTAATAATCTGACAGGGCAGTAACAGCTATCTAAGTATTCTATAGGGATAAACTTCCCATAGGCAAATTGGTCAGTTTTAGAGGAAACAATTCGAATCCAGCACAACTTCTTTTTGATCTTAATGTCCCGAAGCCTTATTTTACTCAATTCGCCAGGACGACGCATAGTTCTTAAACCTATAGCTACTAATGCTGCATCTCGAATCCAAAATTCTTCACTAATAAACTGTGGTTTATTATCAATAAAACATTTTAATGCAAGGACTGGTAGGGGGTCACGAGGCCACTCAGGCTCCTTATCCTTCCTATACTCCTTAAAAAGTGCTCTGAAAACTTTTTTAACTTTATAATTCTTAGAAGGGTCCGGTAACTGTGCTTCTAGATGTTCTCTTGAAACCGCAGCCAGAACATCTGTACAATTCGAAAAGGCATGCGTAAGGTCAAGCCAGACAATGAAGGAAACAAGTGTATCTACTTTAGATGGTAGTGCTTCTAAGCCCATGACTTTACAATAATTATCATATAAACACCAAGCTCTGTCTAAACGCTGATTCCAGTTTTGAGATACAGAATTTTTACGCAGAGTCTGAGCTCTAGCAAGTAACATACTAACTAGCCTAGCCTTACTGCTAGGAACTGCCAACTTAGATTCTTCCATGGTTCCACTACACCTGAAACCCCCCTTATGAATGCTATTTGGGGAGGTGGCAGAACCAAGAAGTCTGTTTGGTTGTGCAATAGAGTTGGCCACCATTCCGCAGAGACCCATCTGGGAACTATTACCGTTGCAACTGCCTTTTCCTCTATAATGTGTTGTAAAACACGATGAATCAGGGCCAAGGGGGGGCATACATAGTTGTTTTCTTCCTTCCAATTCTGAGTGAAACAATTTATTCCTTCTGAGTTGGGACAATAATAACGACTGTTGAAATGAGGAAGTTTCGAATTCTGATAGTCTGCCATGCGGTCTATGGTATGAGGACCCCACCTTTCCTCTATGAGCTTGAAAACCAACT